TAGTCCAGTAATTTGGCATGCTTTGGTTTAGATTTGTTAGCTATCTTATTTTCAGTGATTGATCCCAAAAGGCTGGGGCTCCTTGCCTGGTGGTGCTAGCCCAATTAATCATTCACCAAAGTTTGAGATAAATTTAATTCTGCTGAATGGCTCACTAAGGGTTTATTCCCAGAGCAAGTGACCAGAAACAAAACTTTCCAGCATTTTTATACCTGTGGTTGCAAGCAAGTGCATTTGATCTCAGAGGTGCATGATATAAGCAATTGTTCCCTATAAGCATTCTTTAGACCTGAGATTATCCATCCATCCGTCCGTCCGTCCGTCCGTCCGTCCGTCCGTCCGTCCGTCCATCCATCTATCTATCTATCTATCTATCTATCTATCTATCTATCTATCTATCTATCTATCTATCTATCTATCTATCTATCTATCTCTATTTATCTGTCTATCTGTCTGTCTGTCTGTCTGTCTCTATCTATCTATCTATCTCTATTTATCTATCTATCTCTATCTATCTATCTATCTATCTATCTATCTCTATCTATGTATCTATGTATCTATGTATCTATGTATCTATGTATCTATGTATCTATCTATCTATCTATCTATCTATCTATCTATCTATCTCTCTCTTCTATCATCTATTCTATACCATTTATGTCTATTATCAATCATCTATTTCATCTATATTTTCCATTATACATATATCTATTATGTATCCTCTATCTGTTATCTATTATCTATATCTGTCGCTCTGTCTATACCTATCTCTCTCTCTCTCTCTCTCTCTCTCTCTCTCTCTCTCTCTCTCTCTCTCTCTCTCTCTCTCTCTCTCTCTCTCTCTCTCTCTATCTATCTATCTATCTATCTTGTCTCCTCTCTCTGTCATCTATCTCATTTATATCTATTATCTATCATCTATTTCATCTACATTCTATTATCTTTCATGCATATGTTTATTATGTATCTTCTATAATCTACCCCCTAGTTTAATGAAGAGAAGGACGAGGGGTGACATGATAGCAGAGTTCCAATGTTTGAGGGACTGCCATAAACAAGAGGGGGGTGTCTACCTATTCTCCAAAGCACCAGAAGACAAGAAACAACAGATGGAAACTAATCAAGGAGAGAAGCAACCAGGAATTAAGGAGAAATTCCTTGACTGTTAGAACGATTAATCTATGGAACAACCTGCCTCCAGAAGTTGTGGGTGCTCCATCACTGGAGGTTTTTAAGAAGAGACTGGACAGCCATTTGTCTGAAGGGCTATAGGGTGTCTAGCTTGAGCAGGGGTTGGACTAGAAGACCTCCAAGGTCCCTTCCAACTCTGTTTTTCGGTTTTCTGTATTCTGAACTGGGTATGTCTAATCTAAAAAGAGAAGGACTAGGGGTGACATGATAGCAGTCTTCCAATATTTGGGGGACTGCCCCCCAAAAGAGGGGGGGGTCAACCTATTCTCCAAATACGCTGAAGGCAGGACAAGAAGCAACGGATGGAAACTAATCAAGGAGAGAAGCAACCTGATACTAAGGAGGAATTTCCTGACAGAACAATTAACCCAGGGAACAGCTTGCCACCAGAGGTTGTGGGTGCTCCAAGACTGGAGGTTTTAAAGAAGAGATTGGGCAGCCATTTGTCTGAAATGGCCTAGGGTCTCCTGCTTGAGCAGGGGGTTGGACTAGAAGACCTCCAAGGTCCCTTCCAACTCTACCATTCTGCAAATCCTCAGCTGAAAATGTAAATAACTACCCTGATCTAATAGTTTGGTGGCCACTGAATTTTGAAAATAAACTGCATTGTTCACGAGTTCACAAGAAATCTTGCCCCATTTTTATTCATAACTGGAAAACTGATGCATCCCCTCCACTTCCTGGAAACAGTTTTAAAAGTCTCAAGTTTTAAAATGAGTCAACGGCCTTTTGAGTTTCCTCTTTTTTTGTGTGACAAACGGCAAACAGAAAAATCAACCTGAGAAAATATTATTTTATGTATTTTAACAGAACTAATTACTAACATGGCCATGTTCTTAAAACTGTTGTGTTCCTAGAAACATTTTTTTTTTTAAAAAAAAGCAGTGAAACAGTAAAATATTTTTTGGGGGGGAAAAACAAAACGCTGAATGGAAAGAACTGGAGAGTGGAAAAAATGGTATTATTATCAGGATCTTGAGTTACCCCAAACCGCTTGGTGGGAGTATAATGTTATCAATGATATAATCCTCTCAAAATCAAAATAAAAGACATTTTATTTTGTAAAAATGTGTAAACCCGTGATATTCCCCGATTTCGTAGGGGTTTGGCCATTCCACCTTCAAGAAGGTATTGTAAATCTTGACATAGCTAGTTCATTTAGTAACTATTCAAAGTTATAAAGGCACTGAAAAAAAGTGACTTATGACCGCTTTCATACTTACGACTTTGGTAGCATCCCTTGGTCAGGTGATCAAAATTCAGCCGCTTGGCAACTGCCTCACATTTATGACGGTCGCAGCAAAGGGGTCACGTGATCCCTTTGCGAACTTCTGACAAGCAAAATCATTGGGGGGGGGGGGAAGCCAGAGTCACTTAACAACCATGTTACCTCAATCTATCATCTGCGGTGACTCCCTTAACAACTGAGGCGAGAACGGTCGTCAAACGGGGCAAAAGTCCCTGAACAAATGTCTCACTTAAGGAGGGAAATTTGGGGCTCCAATTGGCAGTCGTAAATTGAGGATTACCTGTATGATATTTCCAAACAGACAAAGAAAAGGTGTTCCCAGAAATATTATTTATTAGGGAACTCTTTCTTTAAACAGAGACAAAGATGTTTCGGAAGGGAGCTGTTTAAACCCGGAGGCAAAATTTTAGTCCACGTTTCCGTTTAATTTAGTTTGAATTTTGAATCACTTTATAGATCCGTGGGTCGTGTGAATGAGGAATCCTAATTCCCTAAGCCGAACAGTCCAATCCATGGACGTAGCTTTCAGCATCCATTTTTGGACTTTAAACTTCTATATGCAATGTGACAAAACCGACAAATAATACCCTTTATCCTTCTCAGACAGATTATAAAAATAAGACTTATCAAAACTACTGCCGGTCTCAATTCAAAACACTCGATTCTTACAAAATTATCAAGACCAGAAAAATTTTTTTCAGGGGCCTGTTTTTTTTAAAATCCTCTAAATCTAATCTCCTTTTGTGATGCAGGCAGTCCCTAACTTACAAGCCATTTGTTTAGCAACCGAACTTCCAACATCGCTGAAAAAAAGTGACTTAAAAGCAGGCCTCGCACTTACGTCCGTTGCCAAGGTCACGTGATCAAAATCCGAGCGCCTGGCAACTGACATTTACAATGGTCGCAGGGTCCTGGGATCATTATTTGTGACCTTCTCAATGGGCTTTGGACACGCAAAGTCAATGTGGGGGAAGCCGGGTTTGCTTAACAACTGCCTGATTCACTTAACGTCGGTAGATAGATTCACTTGGCAAGCGCGGCAGAGGTCGTAAAACAGAGCGCGATTCGCCTAACCATCATCTTGCTTACTAGTGGAAGTTCTGCCACCACACCCCCAGGGTGGTCGTAAGGTCGGGGATTACCTTGCTCAATAGTAGCAACTGTGAGAGGGATCTCGGAGTCCTAGTGGACAATCACTTAAATATGAGTCAGCTGTGTGCGACGGCAGCAAAAAAAGCCAACACAGTGCTAAAACTGCATTAACAGAGGGATAGAATCAAGATCACGTGAAGTGTTAATAGCACTTTACAAGGCCTTGGTAAGGCCACACTTGGAATACTGCATCCAGTTTTGGTCACCACGATGTAAAAAGATGTTGAGACTCTAGAAAGAGTGCAGAGAAGAGCAACAAAGATGATTAGGGGACTGGAGGCTAAAACATATAAGGAACGGTTGCTGGAATTGGGTATGTCTAGTCTAATGAAGAGAAGGACGAGGAGGGACACGATAGCAATGTTCCAGTATCTCAGGGGCTGCCCCAAAGAGGGAGTCAAGCTATTCTCCAAAGCGCCTGAAGGCAGGACAAGAAGCAACGGATGGAAACTCATCAAGGAGAGAAGCAACCTGGAATTAAGGAGAAATTTCCTGACAGTTAGAACAATTAACCAGTGGAACAACCTGCCTCCTGAAGCGGTGAATGCTCCAACACTGGAAGTTTTTAAGAAGAGATTGGACAACCAATTTGTCTGAAATGGTATAGGGTTTCCTGCCTGAGCAGAGGGTTGGATTAGAAGACCTCCAAGGTCTCTTCCAACTATTCTATTCTATCCTATTTTATTCTATTCCTGTTCTGTATTTTATTATTCTATTCTATTCTATATTCTGTTCTATTCCATTCCATATTTTCTATTCTATTCCTATTCTGTATTTTATTATTCTGTTCTATATTCTGTTCTATTCCATTCCATTCCATATTTTCTATTCTATTCCTATTCTGTATTTTATTATTCTATTGTATTTTATTATTCTATTCTATTCTATTCTATTCTATTCTATTCTATTCTATTCTATTCTATATTCTGTTCTATTCCATTTCATTCCATATTTTCTATTCTATTCTATTCCATTCCATATTTTCTATTCTATTCTATTCTATTCTATTCTATTCTATTCTATTCTATTCTATTCTATTCTACTACGTGTAGTTCAGCCACAAATCTCCCCCCCCGCCCCGTTTGAAGATTTATCGACCAGACACAAGATTATAACACGACTTTCACTAACGTTTTATTTCACATGGTAAAAAGTCAGTCAGATTAGGTGTCTTCTAGAATCAGGTAAAGTGCAAACAGTGTAAAGTGACATACTAAGAAAGGAAGCAAACAGGATGGTGGAGAAGACATTTTCCCACCGTATCTCAGCCAGGAAATAAAAGAATTTGGCAGCTTAGTCTCAGGCTACAGAAGGACGTTCCTCGCCTCGCCTCCAAAACAAAAGAGCTGGTCCCCAAAAGTGGAATTTTCTGGGCGTGTTTTAGTGTTTTACTTTGGATGTCACCGGTTTAACGCTTGCCAAATCCGTCGTGGGAAGCCGCAGTTGGAGAAGGAGGAATCACGTAGAAGTTATGGACCTGCTTCCAGACCCATCGGATTCGGCTTCCAAACGAATAATCCCCAGCGGATGTTGGTCTCTTCTGCTAAGAGGAAGGCAGGAACCGAAAGCTTTTGAGTTCTCAGGGTTTTGCAGATAAGGTGACCGGGAAAACCACACTGGGGTAGGAAACGAGGATCTTCAGCTACTGGGAGCAGCTGGAGGAAAGCAGCCGGATAGTAAAGGCCTGTTCCATCTGGGTTAAAAGAAAAAAGGAAAAGAAAAAAGGGGTCGTTAAACTTTTGGGGAGACACTGAAGAAACAGCCGTAGTTATTGGATCTAACCGGGTGTGTTCTTGTCTGCGATGTTTTTATTTATTGAATTATTGGTACCATGCCTTTATTATTTTTTACATACATACACACACAGACAATCAATCAATCAATCAATCAATCTATCTATCTATCTATATCATCTATCTATCTATCTATCTATCTATCTATCTATCTATCTATCTATCTATCTATCTATCTATCATCTATCTCTATGTATCTCTCTCTCTCTCTATATATATATATATCATCTATATCTCTATCTATCTATCTATCTATCTATCTATCTATCTATCTATCTATCTATCTATCTATCTATCTAATCTCTTCCTACCTACCTACCTACCTACCTATCTCTCTCTCTCATCTCTCTCTCTCTCTCTCTCTCTCTCTCTCTCTCTCTCTCACTCACTCTCATATCTATCTATCTATCTATCTATCTATCTATCATCTATCTATCTATCTATCTATCTATCTATCTATCTATCTATCTATCTATCTATCTATCTACCTACCTACCTACCTACCTACCTACCTATCTATCATTTATCTATCTACATTTTTATTTCTATTCAGAAAGTTAAAATACAAAATCCCCCCCCAAAAAAATCCAGACATTTTTTTTTACGAAAACAAAATGAGACAAATGTTAGGAGGAGGAATATTTCAAAAAAAAAAAAACTAATTTCATTTTGTTTTTGCAATATATTTTCCCCTTGACTCACCTGAATGACGACGAGCTCGCGGTCCATACATTTATTTCCTTCCAGCTCATGTCCCACGTATAGAATGATCCGGTGATCCGGCAGGTTCGCCAAGCCCTGGCGATGCTTTTCCAGAGCTGTGAATCCGACACAGGAAGATCAGCACTATTCATTCAATTTATAGCAACAGTACAAGACTTATATACCGCTGACACCACTCTTCCCTATTCTGAGAAAGGAAGTCCTTGACTTATGACCACAATTTACGACTGGAAATTTCCGTTAGTTGTTGTGACTTCGGGACACTGCAGCCCTCAGAAATACAGGTGGTCCCCGGCTTATGACCACAACCGAACTCAACATTTCCGTCCCTAAGCGAGGCATTTCTTAAACCCCATTTTACGACCTTTCCCGACACAGCTGTGAGGGGAATCGTTACAGCTGTTAAAATTAGCAACACGGTCGTTAAGCGAATCCAGCTTCCCCCCACTGACTTTGCTCCTCAGAAGGTGTCAAAAAGGGGGAATCACGTGACAACCCCCCCCCGGGACGCTGCGACTGTCGTAAATATGAATCAGTTGGCCAAGCGTCCGGATTTTGATTACGTGACCACGGGGGAATGCTGTAACGGTCGTAAGAGTGAAAAACGGTCGTACGTCCCTTTTCTCCGTCCCGTTGTAACTTCGAACGGTCACTAAACGCTCTGTTAAAAGTTGAGAACTGGCTGTACTGCCATTCAAGAGTTTTAACATCTGCCTGTTTGCAGAGGCCTTGTTCATTTTCAGCCTAGGGATGAGCTGCATGTTAAACTACAGTTCCCATCATCCTTCACTGCGGTTCTTGATCACGGAAACTCCATCCAACTGCCAGAAGGGCCTTAATGGCTGAGCCTATTTTACACTACAGGTAGTCCTTGACTTACGACCCCAAATGGAGGCCAGAATTTCCGTCGCTAAGCAAGGCGGTTGTTTAAGTGAGTAGACGGCCCATTTTACCATCCCATTTTTGCAGCGGTTGTGAAGGTTGTTAAATGAATCACATAGTCATTCTATTCTATTCTATTCTATTCTATTCTATTCTATTCTATTCTATTCTAATTCTATTCTATTCTATTCTATTCTAATTCTATTCTAATTCTATTCTATTTTCTTATTTCTATTCTATTTTCTTATTTCTATTCTATTTCCTTATTTCTATTCTATTCTATTCTATTTTCTTATTTCTATTCTATTTTCTTATTTCTATTCTATTCTATTCTTTCCTTATTTCTATTCTATTCTATTTCCTTATTTCTATTTTATTCTATTTTCTTATTTCTATTCTATTCTATTTTCTTATTTCTATTCTATTTCCTTATTTCTATTCTATTTCCTTATTTCTATTCTATTCTATTCTATTCTATTTCCTTATTTCTATTCTATTTTCTTATTTCTATTCTATTTTATTCTTTCCTTATTTCTATTCTATTCTATTTCCTTATTTCTATTCTATTTCCTTATTTCTATTCTATTCTATTCTATTCTATTCTATTCTATGCTATGCTATGCTATTCTATTATTCTATTCTATTTCCTTATTTCTATTCTATTCTATTTCCTTATTTCTATTCTATTCTATTTTCTTATTTCTATTCTATTCTATTCTATTCTATTCTATTCTATTCTATTCTATTCTATTCTATTCTATTCTATCCTATCCTATCCTATCCTATCCCTCCTACTCCATTCTCATTCCATTCTATTCTATTCCGTCCCATTATTCTATTCCCGTGGTGGTGAACCTATGGCACGCAAAGCCCTCGCCCCAGTCCTAGGCCTCCAGCTGGGTTTTATAAAACCTTTTCGCTTTAGGCCTCCGCCGCCGTGTACAAAAACCCCCAACCAAACGTTCAATCAATCAATCAATCAATTTCAACTTCTCGCGGGGGAAAAAAAAAGATCTCGCAAAGTTGGAATTGATTGATTGAACTTTTTAGTCCCACCCAGTCTGCCATTACCACCGCAGCCATGCCCACCCAATGGGCCACACCCACCCAATGGGCTATGCCCACCTGGCACCCGACGATGCATAAGTGGGTTTTGGGTTGCAGTTTGGGCACTCGGTCTCTAAAAGGTTCGCCATCACTGTTCTGTTCTGTTTACTCTATTACTCCTACTCCATTCTATTCCATTCTATTCTATTCCATCCCATTATTCTATTCTGTTCCGTTCCATTCCTATTCCAGCCTTCCTTCGTTGGAAGGCCGCCAATGGCGATCACATGACCCCTGGACGCTGCAGCCGTCATAAAATACCTGTCAAGTGCCAAGGGCCTGAATTTTGATCACACGGCTCGGGATGCTGCGAGGGTCGTAAGTGCGAGGACCATTCAAAGCCACTATTTTCAGTGCCGTCGTTAATTTTGAACGGCAGCTAAGTGGCTGGTTGTAAGTCAAGGACTACCTGTAACCTCTCCCTGCAAGCTGACACGCAAAACAGACAAGCTGTGTGTTCACAAATCGGCTTTGTTCTCACCTGCTTGAAAATCCCGGGGTTTGAACAGCTGCTGGTAAGAGTTATTCTCCAGTTTGGTTTGGTACTCAGGGGCCAAAAATCCTGACCACCAGACGCAGACGTTGCCCCGGCACAGAATGAAGATCCCTTCGTGGTTACTGGCCACCATGATGCCTTTTATCAAATCGTTGAGGAGAGACTGGACCGCCTGCTGCTTCGCGGAATCGGCCATTTTACCCGGGTCCGGCAGAATGACACGTTTCATGCAGTTGAACAGGCCGTTCACTGGAGCCGGCACCGACGTAATCAGAAAATCGCCTTCCGGTAGCAAATACTTGCAGATCACTTCTCCCGCGTAGGCGATAGATAAGCAAAGAAAATAATCCTCTAAAAAAAAACAAATCAAGGATTGACGATATTAATTGAATCGACGCTGGTTTTGCCTGATCTGATCCTAGGGGTCCTCGATTTACGACCGTAATTTGGCCTGGGGTTTTCGACGTCAGTCATTGGGGTAGGAAGTCGAGTCATTCGCACAACTGGACCAGATAATACTAATTATTATTACGTCGATATATTACGTCGACTGCATTCCCACTATCTATTAAATTATCCTCTCAAAAAAAATGCAATAAAGGTAGTCTAGCTACATTCGTTCTTATCCAGGCTCAATTCTGGTAAACCCTTGCTAGCTGGGGAATTCTGGGAGTGGAAGTCCAGCCGCCTTGAAGCATGTTGGCTGGGGAATTCTGGGAGTTGAAGTCCTCCTGCCTTAAAACATGCTAGCTGGGGAATTCTGGGAGTTGAAGTCCACCCATTTTAAAGCATGCTGGCTGGGGAATTCTGGGAGTTGAAGTCCACCCGCCTTAAAGTGACCAAGGTTAGGAAACTGCATTTCAGAGGATCTCTGGGATCTCACCTGTTGGTTCAGTAGTAGCCCTCACCACAGGGTTGGGATCTGTCCTCAAGCTGAGGCTGATCTCGTTCACTTCCGGCGCTGCAGGGATCAAAGAAACACAGAACAGTAAACCCAAGTGATCTACCCTTCCTCATGACCAAGCGATCCTCATGTAGTTTGCCGCAAACGCCATCTTTCTCCTGGGCTACGAGATGCCCCAGTGTCTCATGAGCGTCAGATACTGTATCTACTAGCGGTGATCTATTCGGCTAGAATCGATTTCAGGCAGGAATCTACTCTGAGTCCCAAAGGTGCTTTTTCACAAGGCCGCTGGATTTCCTTGTTTTTCTTTGAAGACGTTTCACTTCTCATCCCAGAAGCTTCCTCAGGTTCTGACTGGATGGTGGGGAATGGAAAGATTTATACTCCTTTGCAATCATCTGGTCATTTGCCTTCTTTTAGAGCAGCGGTTCTCAACCTGTGGGTCGCGACCCCATTTGGGGTCGCACGACCATTTCACGGGGGTCGCCAAACAACACCGTCCGCCATTTTTTTTTTTTACCCTTTTCCTTAGCTGTGCTACTCCCTCTGCTTGGCGGCAGCCTGCATGCACGAACTTTACCAAATGTGCCCTGCAGGAGGCGTGTGAAGAGCGCAGGCGCAGAGCAAGGCCCAGCCCTCCCCAGGGATTCATTTCAGATTCATTTCAAAGTTTTTCTCGCGCAGAAAACAATTGCGGAACACTCGG